GGCGGCCACTGCAGGAGATGCGGGGGGGGGGGGGGGGGGGATTATTTTGTTAGGAAGTCACTAATTGAGACCCCTTGGGCTGGGACCCCCCACCCAGTACTGGAGCAGACGGTTCCCCATGGCTGGGGAAAGTGTGGAGCCTGGCTGCCTGGGGCTGAGCCCCTTCTCCTGCCGGCTGGGAACCCTGGGTAGTTCATTTCTCAGGGACACAGGGAGGTTTGGAAGGCGTGTTGCTGTCAGGGTGCTTCTGCTTGGGATTATTTTCCAGGCAAACCACATCCTTCATATCACCCGCTTGGGTTTTAGCTTCCCAAAGTTGCTCACACAGAGCCCAGAAAAGTCATTTATCATCTTCGCTTCTTCCTCCGAGGGTGAGTCCTTTGGAGGATTCACCCCACTGCAGGCCTTCTGGGTACCACTGGCGAGGAGCTGTGGGAGGTGAGCTTCACCTGGGGCTGCTCCAGCAGACAGGGAACCTGCAATTGTTAAAGTGATTTAGTATATAAACACTCTGGTGTTGTAAAGATCCCTCAAATGGTGCCTCAGGGGCTTTGATGGATTGAATTAATTAAATATATTCCCACATATTTAATATGAAAGTAATCAAAGCGTCCTAATCAGGGGCTTTTGTTTGTCTCTGGGTTGTTTTATTTTATTTCTGGGCATGAGGGGTGTGCCCCAATTTCATAAGAGAGGGTGCAGGAAGGATGTGTGTGTCAGAAGATGATCTGCAGCTAATCCCAGAGGCTTTATCCAGGCTGATTGCTGACTTCCTGGCCTGAGACACATCTGGAAACTGGCATCAAATTCCAAGTAGAAATCACCGAGCGAGCGGCAGCAGAAAAAAAAATCCCACTTTGCTACCGAACAAGGTAGACACCGTGGTGAATAAAAGCAGGAGGTTGCTAATACGCTCTTTATTTATTAAAAAACATGGGATTGCTTTCCCCAGGTTTTTCCAATTATAGTGCATTGAATGGCCCTGACATCACTCTTGAGCTGGGGCCAGCCTATTCAACAGTCTGGCGAAGACATTTATTAACTGGTTACCTGCCAATTGTCTGGGCTAGGAGCTGCGGGACAGATGTGTTTTGAAAAGTGATAACATTG